AGCGCACTCAGTCTTGCCTCCCCCACCCCCCCCTTTGGGCGACTTGTCTCTCTCGACCTTTCTCGCTCTCTGCTTTGCGTGACGTCAACTTCCTCGCTTTGTCACCAGGACATCATCTACCGGTGAGGTAATCCACTGTCAAGATTGCGAACAAAGTAGACCTGAGCACAACAAGCAAGATATAACACTCATGACCAAGAACACAAACTGAAGTACCTGCTACACAAACGGAAATACCCGGTACACAAACGGCAATACCCGGTACATGAACCAAAAACCTCTCTCTCTCTCTCTCTCTCTCTCTCTCTCTGTGTGTCCACAGGGATCTCCGCGCCCGCCCTGTAGACCCTGCATCCCTCGAAAGGGGAGTTTCTATCCCGCTCCGATTGCCTGTCAGCGATTTTCAAGTAGCAGAGTAAGGAAAAACAAAAAAAAAGTACTAGCTCTCCAGAGTAGGTAGGAACCTACTTTCCACAGAGGCGAACTACACGAACCACCGGGCGAAAGACCTGAGCGTGCTCGCCTGACCTGGCCTGGCCTGGCCCATAGCCAGCCAAGGAGGTGGTTCCAGTCAGACTCAACCAGTCGCTTTCTGCTGTTCGGTCGGAGGCCGTCCCCTTCTCCATCCTCCTCCCTGCGGTAACTTCTCCATCCTCCTCCCTGCGGTAACTTCTCCGTCCTCCCTGCGGTAACTTCGCCGTCCTCCCTGCGGTAACTTCTCCGTCCTCCCTGATAAAAAAGTTACCTTCCTCCTCTGGAACTTCACCCCCCCTCCCTGACTCAATTCTTCTCTCTTTCTTTCTCGATCTCCCTTTTTGGGCGGAGCAATTAAGACCAAGCACAGCATAAAACACTCCCCACGTGTACATCCTCCACACGACGAACAAGCAGAGCTACCGTTCTCGTTCCTCGTCCTCTCTCTTCTTTCTATGCCACTGCATTTGCCAATCAACCAATCAATCCATAAATATACCAATCAATCGAATCAACCAATCACTTAACCAATCAATCAACCAATCAATCAACCAATCAATCGATCAACCAGTCAATCAACGAGTGAATCAATCAACCAATCGATCAATCAACCAATCGATCAACCAATCAATCAATCAACCAATCCATCAATCAACCAATCAATCAATCAACCAATAAATCACTCGATCGATCACCAAACTGCCATTTGGAGAGGCAGAAATATAAAGAGCGAAAGATCCAACCGATCACCCTTCGCGTCTTCACAAGTCGTTCAATAGATAACAAGCAAGCAAGCCTCGCTGCGTGATAATTTGCCCTGCAGTGTTATCCCTGCAGGTGTGACGACGCGATCGGTGCGCCTCTCTGCATAAGGATCTTGCTACAACAGCGAAGGAAGCAGCCATCTTCATGTCCTCGCGACAAGAAAAGATACACTCCACCCACAGAAGAGCCAGAAGAAAACGCTTCGCTGTTACGCTTTCCCTCACGCTTTCCGTTTACACTTCCCATTACGCTTTTTTCCTTCCCTTGGCCAATCATCCCTCGCTTTCCGTTACGCTCTCTCCGTTATGCTTTCCGCTTGCTTCTCGAACACATTCGGCGGCTACGATTCCTTCCCTAGGCCAATCATCCCTTTCTTTCCGTTACGCTTTCCGTTACGCTTTCCGTTACGCTTTCCGTTGTTACGTTTTCCGTTACGCATTCCGTTGTTGCGTTTTCCGTTGCGCTTTCCATTGCTCTTTGCGTTACGCTTTCCATTACGCTAGGCATTACGTTTTCCGTTACGCTTTCCGTTCTTTCGAACACGTTCAACCGCCGCAATTGCTTTCCTCCGCCAATCCCCCCTCACTCTCCGTTACGTTTATTCCGTTTGTAGCTCCCTCGCTTTCCGTCACGCTTTTTTCCGTTTGCATCTCCCTCACTTTTTTCCCGTTACGCTTTTTTTCCGTTTGTTTCTCCGTCCCTTTCCGTTACGCTTTTTCCGTTTGCATCTCCCTCACTTCCCGTTACGCTTATTCCGTTTTGTATATCCCTCACTTTCCGTTACGCTTTTTCCGTTTGTATTCTCCCTCACTTTCCGTTCCGCTTTGTCCGTTTGTCTCTCGAAGGCATTCAATGGCCGCAGTTCTTTCCCTCGGCCAATCATCCCTTCCACTAGCGCAGACATCGGCTTGGCCGATCATCATGCTCTCTCTCTCTCTCTCTCTCTCTCTCGTCAAACAGAGCTGCTCGGTAAACCGTACGCAGAGAGGGAGAAGGGAGAAAAGGACAAGAAACGAGGGGCTGTGACAAACTGTTTCGTCGGAGTTTCACCTACTCATCAGGAGGCTGAACCCTCAACAGTCTGCAGAGCCCCCTAACCGATTACACTGTACGTGATAATCCACCATAACCCCGGTAGTGGTTAAGCATCAATGACTACCCGACAACTGATACCCTGAGGTGGTGGTGGGGACCACCAACCACTGCCCTCAAGGCACCTGTGACGCAAATCAAAGCACGCCATCACTCACCCACACCAGATGGAAAACTCTAGACTGTTGGTTCACACCCCATCACAAGCCAGCAAAACACCCACGAAACAAAGAAAGGTCTGTCACAGCCAAAAAATACACTCCAGACATATATATCGTCAAATATATATTGCAGAGCGCACACGCGATCCTACCAACACCCGTTGATCGGTCGCTTAAACTGATTACATGATAGGTTAGTTGGTTGATTGGTTACGCAATTAACTAACTGATAGGACGGCTGATTCAGAAGACTACTAGTACAGGCTGATATCACAGGTGATCTGATCTGATGGCAAGACACGTGGAAGCGATGACGAGGTGCGAACCTTGTGTTGACGACCAGTCATCATTAAGTGACACGTGGAAGGACAAGCCTTGTGATGACGAGCAAGGATTAAGTGACACGTGGAAGCGATGACGAGGTGGAAGTGATGACGAGCAGTGATTAAGTGACACGTGGAAGGACAAGCCTTGTGATGACGAGCAATAATTAAGTGACACGTGGAAGGACAGGCGAGGTTCGCTTTGTACAGAGGAGACGAGACCGAAGGAGGGTAATCAGTCCGGAATGACGTGGCAAAACCATCGATCAACGTGTTGCGGATTCCAATTTCCGTGAGAAGAGTGCGACGGAATCAACCCCATCGAAGAGGCAGAGGGAGAAAATCAACATCGACTGACAGATCGATCCATCACACACGTCATTCATTAGCACCTGAGACAGATCATTACACAACACGTGTCAGGTCGACGTTCTACAAAAAGAAAAGAAAAAAAAAGGAAAAAAAAACGAAAGAGTGAGACTGTGTGCATAATGACGTCTTGCGGGCGAGAGTCGACCTTGCCAAGCACACACCCAGGAAGTGTGATGACACGTGGCCGAATCCGCAAATCCATCAACTGCTCTTATCGCGAGCGAAGGTCACTCGCGATGACGACACGTGTCATCAGGAGAGAGAGGGATGCAATCAAGAGCAGAGTGACATGGCAGATCGATAATCGACCTTGGAATATGGGAAGATCAAAATCGACGTAGAAAAGCAACATGGCAGAACGAGATGGTCGAAGCAGAACAAAAAAAAAAAAAAAAAAAAAAAAGAGATGGTCGAAGCAGACCAGGCGGCGGGCCCTCCCCTAATTCTGTGCTAGAGTTCGCTAATAATCGATCGAGAGTTAATTAAATCCCATTTTAAAAAGGACCTGAAGATGGCTACCCTCCACACACAAAGCACGGGAGTCACGAGTTAGTTAAATCCCCCATCTTTTAAAAAGACTAATGAAAATTCGTTCCCGGCTAACTCGAGCAACGAATGCGAGGCCACCTCGCGGAACAACAATTTTCCATCAGTGGAAGATGGATGGGGATGCTGGTGGAAAGCGGAACGCAGATCGACGACGACGATAACATCATACACACATCATACGTATGTCGAAAGGGTCATCAGACGTCGATCCCGTTCGACCATCCGACGCCAAGAAGCGAATACGAGCTTCCTTCAATCATTTGCGGCCATAATGGCGAGAGACAAGTAATCCAAGGTCGATTACTACAAAATCCATCACATCGACCGACAAGAGTGACGTGGCAGGCAGGCAGGCAATACTGACGTGGCAGGAAGGTAACACAATGACATGGATGGCAGGCAGGCAATACGGACGTGGCAGGCAGGCAGGCAACACAATCACGTAGCACGCAGATACAACAGTGACGTGGCAGGCAGGCAATCTGACGTGGCAGGCACCAGCACAGTGACGTGGCAGGCAGGCAATCTGACGTGGCAGGCACCAGCACAGTGACGTGGCAGGCAGGCAATCTGACGTGGCAGGCACCCGCACAGTCACGTGGCAGGCACCAGCACAGCGACGTGGCAGGCAGGCAGTCTGACGTGGCAGGCACCAGCACAGTGACGTGGCAGAGTTTCTTTCAATACAGCGACGTGGCTGGCAGGCCGGTAAACCACTGACGTGGCAGGCAGGCAACATAGTGACGTGGCAGCCAGGCAAACCACTGACGTTGCAAGAAGGTAACACTGACGTGGCAAGACAGGCAACACAGTGATGTGCCATGCTTTTTTGCCGAGAGGACGAAACACCTTGATAACGAACGACGAAGCGATGGAGTGCTGCTGAAGATACGAGGGGGCGAGATGGGAATGCGCACGCAACCAGATGACTCACGTGACGAAGAGAGGCACCACGTGACGAAGAGATGCACCACGTGACGAGAGGTAGACAGATGCATGACCAAGACACCTCACGTGACGAAGAGAGGCATGACCAAGACACCTCACGTGACGAAGAGAGGCATGACCAAGACACCTCACGTGACGAAGNAGAGAGGCATGACCAAGACACCTCACGTGACGAAGAGAGGCACCACGTGACGAAGAGAGGCATGACCAAGACACCTCACGTGACGAAGAGAGGCACCACGTGACGAAGAGAGGGAGGTAGACAGGTCACGTATCGAAGTGACATAGATGTGAAGAGCGACGAAACTGAGGTTGCGATTAGGATTGAAATTTATCCGTCCGCAAATTGAACTGATCATATAGAAGATGGCGACATCAACCATTTGCGCAGATTGCTGATAAACATACATTGGGAGGAATATATAGCCGTCTCCATCAATGAAAAGACATTCTGGGCGAATTTGGATACGACAGTAAAGAAAAACTTATTCGAGCATAAGTCTTACGTATGATGACCTTTCCATCTCATGATTGTTTCTCTCGACCATAATGATTGATTGATTGATGGATGGATGGATGGATGGATGAATGGATGAATGGATGAATGGATGGATGGATGGATGAATGATTGACTGATGGATAGATGGATGGATGGATGAATGGATGAATGGATGGATGAATGGATGCAGATCGATCACATGATGAGTCCATCTTCATCACGATAACGATTTTCATGACGATGACACAGAACTAGAACGACAAAAGTGGGAACGACTTTGATTGATCTTAACAATTACATCTTCTCTCATTAACGATATATATATCTATATATGTTGTCACACTGTGAATCAGAGCGCGAACACGGAAAAAAGCAAAAACAAGCAAAGGAAAAGAAGGAAGGAAAGCCCCCACCTGTTCATCACCTCTTATATATCGATGATACTCTAGAGAGGTTTTCAAGAATTTTATTTTTTCTGTTCAAAAGTCTAACAACACACAAAATGTTGTTGCTCCCTCTCTCTCTTCACTCCAAACCAGGCGTGCATTTCTGCCGTCCAGCTTCCCCCTTCCCTGCCCCACGTCATCTTCCATCTCCTCTCTAGAGATATATATATCTGCTAAAACGTGTTTTCCTCCTCCTCCTCTTCCAAAACTCCACATCTTCTACCTGCTAACGTGTTTTCCTCCTACTGCTCTCGACGTTGCGTCGCCGCCTCCATACCTTCACGTCATCGTCCGTCGTCGTTCTCCTTGCCCCATGTCATCTTCGGCGGATCTTCTGTCGAGATATCTGCTGACGTGTCCTCCTCCTCTTCCTAGTGCTCCACGTCATCCTCCCGTCTTCTTTCGCGATATCTGTTGACGTCCCGTATTTTTCCTTCCTCCTCCACTGCTGCTCAAGTCGTTTTTGGTTCCTTGGGGCTCCTCCCTGCTTCCAGGTCACGCTCATCCGTCCTCCACCTCCGGAGACGTGCCGACTGACGTGTAGAGGTAGTGCGCTCCCTCCCTCCTTCCCCTGCTTCTCGACTTGTTCGTTCATCTCCTCCTCTCCCTGCTCCACGTCATCCTCCGCGAGTCTTATATCGGCGGGAAATGTCTGCTGACGTGTCCTCTTCCTGATTGCTCAGGCTTTTCCTTTGATATTTTGGCGGGAATTTACAACCTTCACATCCCCATCTTCTTCCTCCTCTTCATCGTCCTCTTCCTCTTCGTCGCAGGACGACGACCCCATCACCCCCGTTTCCCACGCCACAGCCCCCCCCTGGCGCCTCTCTAGTCCCCCTCCTCCCCCCCCGCCCCCCGCCCTTTCCTCCTCCTTCTCCTTCCCTCTTGAAGGTGGTTTGCGCAAGCGAGGCCTCATCAGCCGGTGCTGCAGCTGCGCCTTCATCGCTCTCTCATGGAGAAACGACCCCACATCATGACAACTCTGCTCAAACTTCTCTAGAAATCCCGACACCCACCTGTCCGCATTCCCTACCCAATCGATCCTCTGGTCCAATCCGATGGTCCCCATGTGCTTGACAGTCCGAACCACGGTTCCAACGTTGTCCGTCATAAGTCTCACGTTCCGTCCCACGTACTCGCGGTTCTTCTCCACCCTCTCTCTCACCTTCTTCTCCATCCTCTCCTGTTGCTCCCTAACCTTCTGCCTCAGCTTTGTCATGCCGATGTTCACACGCAGCTGTTTCTCCTTGATGAAACTGACCCCCAACTCCTTCCTTGTGTACCCTCGCGCCAAATTGCGCAGCACGTAATCGTTATAATCCTTCAAGATACGCATGATGATGTCCGAAGTCGAGATCCCGTCTGTTCTCCGAGTCTCCTTGAACTTTCCCACGGACTTCACCCACTCGTATACATCTTTTCCCTGTCCCGACGCATCATGATACGGAGCGGCGTCGTGCGCCACGTAATCGATGCGGTGCTTCTCAAGGAACTCAGGGCTGAGCACCCACGGAGCGTCGGGGACGACCTCATCAACCCACTTGCAGTGGCGAAGGGCCTCATACCTCTCCTCCTCGCTCATGACCGTCTTGCCCTTGTACCTGTTAGTGAGCGCATCGCTGCAGCAACCGACAAGGAGATGGCAGTGGGGAAAGAGTTTCTTGGCCTGCTCCAAAGAACGGGCATGGCCGATGTGGAAAAGATCATAAATACCGTCAGCATAGACTCTAACAGGTCGATTAGGATCGTGACCATCAGGCAATGAGAGAGAAGAAGGGGAAGCGGAGGGGGCGGGGGGGATGGAGGAGGAGCCGCCGCCGCCGCCGCCGCCATAGGAAGAAGCAGAAGGATTAGATGAGGTGGCACGAGGAGGAGGAGGAGGAGGAGGAAAGGAGGAAGAAGGATGATGAGAGGTAGCATGATGAGAGGTAGCACGACAAGGAGGAGCGGATATGCCATAGCCACCGACATTGCCATTCCTTTGCTGCTGGCGATGGTGGTGGTCACGTTCGTCGTCGTCGCGGAGCCCATCGTCGTCACTCGATCCGCCTGGATCTTCGTCCATAGCATCTTGGAACTCGTCTCTGTCATCATCCATATCTTCAAGGGAATGGCAAGAAGAAGAAGAAGCAACCGGAGGAGGGAAGTTTGGCGCCAAATTGTTCATCATTACGACACCGCCAACGGGTGGCTCGCTTGTCGACATTGCTTGGGTCCTCTCTCTCGCTCCCTCCCTCCCTCCCTCCTACTGTGTCCTCTCTAAGCGTTCTCCTGATTTACCCTACCCTCCACCTCCCTCTCCTCCTCGCCCCGCCAAAAGACACACAGAACAACAACACAACACTTCCAAACCACCAACCACCTACCCAACACTGCGCTCTCTTCTGCCCGATCGCGCACGGCGGACTAACCTTCTCCTCGTAATCTGTCTCCTACAACACGGAAGAAGCAGCAATGCGTCGCAACGTACAGCTCTTTCCCGACGACAACCTCAACTAACCCCTCGCCCCCACCCTCTCTCTCTCTCTCTCTCTCTCTCTGAACTAGCAGATCTTCTATTTGTTCGTTTGGTCTGTCTATTAACCTTACTCGATGGCTATGATCTACCCGATCCTCCAATCAATCATCAGGCCACGTGACGATCAACGGTGGACAGGACGCGAGTACGGACCGTATACCATTCTCGCAGAGAGCGCACCAGGAATTTCACCTCTCTCTCTCTCTCTCTCGCTCGCTCGCTCTCCGTGGCAAAGATTTAGCGCCTATCGACTGGTGACAACCGCACTAGCGGCAAAAAGAAGAAAAACGACTACCATAGCGGCCAGTACGACAGGCATCGATCGAGCAAAACCCCTCGAGACACTTGCGATCAGAAATTAGGGTGCGCCGTCCAGGGAGAAAGAGAGAGAAGAGAGAGAAGAGAGGATGGAGAGGAATATCGCCCACGCAGGAGCAAGAGAGAAAGAGAGGAGGGGGAGAAGGCGAGAAGCTGAGACCGTGCCGAACTGTTGAAGGTAATCGGCTTCTGTGGGTACACAAGAGAGGGCTTTTTCCGCCCGCGCCAGTCGCTGCGCGCCGCCCGTCAGTTCGGTATAAGAGAAGGTCAGAGCCCGCCGCTGCGCGTCCGCTGCGCGTCAGTCGCTGCGCGCGGCCGATCGCATCGGCGCCGGAAAAACGAATGACGAGAGGTCATCAGATGGCAATAAAGATCAATCACCCGAATCGTGCACACTAGGTCGGCTTATACCTGGATGCAATACACATCTTATGTATATATATATATATAGTCACATATGATATATACGCGACTACGTACGTACGCGAGTGGAATAGACGGGGGAGACAAAAGGAGTAGAATTAGACTGTGACACTGTCTAGTCTCTGAAGTCTGTCTGTAATTTATCAGTCTCTGACCACCTCCGTGCACGCACGCATACCTACTGAGCTCGTGTGTACGCCCTCAGCCTGAAGAGGCGAGTTTCTTAACCACTACAGCCAGGACAGAGAACGGAAAGGAGAGAAGGGGGCCGAAAGGAGGAGGAGGAGGAGGAGGAGGAGAGAGACGGTACAAAAAAAAGCAGGAGAGATTGAAACGGATACGGATTCCTTGGACGATCACCGAGCTCAACGGGGATCTAACGATAAATGCGTAGAGATTTGGGAGTTATTTTAACACTACGTTTTTACAGACACAGCTGCTGTTTCAGACATTTACTATTATTATATTGTTTTATTATCTATATGTATAAAAGAACTAATATGCTACTATATACACTTTGCGTGTATACCTCACAGGTATGTGGGTACATGCATCTATCGGATCAAGACGCAGCTTAATTAACGGCCCAAGAAGCAGAGACAACACTGAGGAAGCGACTCAAAAATTAACGGTGTCAAAGGTGAACGAATCGAATCGAATCTCGAGACATCACAAAACGGAACGGAACGTTGCGGAAACAAACGGAACGGAACCCTGCCAATGTACGTGAAAGAGTCAGACTCTAGCGTAAACCAACGAAGGGAATTCCTCTACAAATATATTTGCAAATAAAAAAAAGAAACAACTGCGGCGGAAAACCCTCCGCTCCTTGGTCGGTCAAATACACAGAAATGAAGAAGATTATACTACATTATTATCATTACAACGAAAAAGGAAAGGCGAAAAGAAAAAAGAAAAAGAAAAAAAAAAAAGACTTACGGGCTATTCCCTTCCCCTTCAACGTCAGCTCGCTGTGAGGAGGTCACGGTAGGGATCTGGAGATCTTGCAGGATCCCAACACCGACAACCAGGGAGTTATAGAGAGAGACAGAGACAGAGAGGAGCTAGCGACCACGTCGGAGGTTAACGACTTGCTTACTTGGTATCCCGACGTCCCTCACAGGGGAGTCGGGATGGATGCCAAAAAAAAAACTAATTAGTTGGACGAACGGAAATGCCTCAAGAAAGAAATTTCAGAAAATCCACAAAAAAAAAAAAAAAAATCAGAAAATAGTAGTGTTGGGGAAAGGAGAATATAGATTGAATAATTGAACGATAGATAGATAGGTCACATAGTTTTTTTTACTGAAATGAGATCAGGCGTTCACATAGTTTTTTTTACTGAAATGAGATGAGGCAGGTAACCAAAAAAAAAAAAAAAAAAAAAAAAAGAAGAAGACGAAAAAGATGTAGGTACACCAAAAACCCTGCCTGCCCTCTAACGTTATAACCAAACAAGAACAACGCGTTTTCTTGAAAATTCCAGTTTTTTTTTTTTTGGGTAAATAATGGAAAGACAACAATTTATGCAACAAAGTGGGTCAATGAGAAGAGGAATAGCTAGAA